GTGCAGTGGCATAGTCTCAGCTCACTGTAACCTCCGGCTCCCAGGTTTAAGCAATTCTCCTTCCTTAGCCTCCTGAGTAGCTGGGATTACAGGTGCCCACCACTACACTCAGCGAATTTTTGTATTTTTAGTAGAGACAGTGTTTCACCAAGTTGGCCAGGCTGTTCTCAAACTCCTGACTTCAGGTGATCTGCCCTCCGTGGCCTCCCAAAGTGCTGGGATTACAGGTGTGAGTCACTACGCCGGGCCTAAAGCTAGTTACTTCTAAATAATATAATACCTGCTAAGCCAAGTGAATTCATTTGAAGTGCATCAGATTGTAGCCTCCTTTCTTTCTTTGCTTTTTCTGAGACAGAGTCTCACTCTGTCAACCAGGCTGGAGTGCAGTGGTGCAATCTCCACTCACTGCAATGTCCACCTCCCAGGATCAAGCAATTCTCATGCCTCAGCCTCTTGAGTAGCTGGGACTACAGGCGTGTGCCACTGCACCTGGCTAATTTTTGTATTTTTAGTAGAGATGGGCTTCAAGTGATCCGCCTGCCTTGGCCTCCCAAAGTGCTGGGATTACAGGCGTGAGCCGCCACACCTAGCCTGTAGCCTCTTTGCTTAATCAAGGACAATGTTGTATGGAATATTCTAGCACTGTATAATTAATACAGTCAGTGTTCACACAGCAGTCCTGGCCACTCCATAATCTTCAGAGTTTAAAGCCTGAAAAACAAAAAGCCCCAGGAAGGCAGGGCTGTCTATGTCTGCAGGAAGACAAAAAAGCAGCTGTAGAGATGCCTGTTTTTCATTCACCAGAGGCTTTTCCCGTGAGGACACCAGAGAATTATTCACCCCAAGTGAAAGGGTATCTGTGGCTGTGTTCACCTACCCACATATATGCCAGGGATTTAAGTGGCAGGAACACAGAAATCTCCAGAGATGGCCAGTATCACCCTGAACAGGGTTCTGCAGAACCTGGGAGGCAGAGGCTGCAGTGAGCCAAGATCACACCACTGCACTCCAGCCTGGATGACAGAGCCAAAACCTGTTTCCAAAAAAAAAAAAAAAAAAAAAATAGAAGAGTGGGCTATAACAATGCAATGGGCCCTCCAACAGAGCCAGGAGGTAAAACTAATGAGCCCCAAGAAGGGTAAGGAAAGGCTTCTCAGAGGTTATTATATTTTTTTAAGAGATGGGAGTCAGCCAGGCACAGTAGCTCATGCCTGTAATCCCAGCACTTTGGGAGGCTGAGGCGGGTGGATCGTGAGGTCAGGAGATCGAGATCATCCTGGCTAACACAGTGAAACCCTGTCTCTACTAAAAATACAAAAGCATAGTTGGCATGGTGGCACGTGCCTGTAGGCCCAGCTACTCTGGAGGCTGAGGCAGTAGAATCACTTGAATTGGGAGTTGGAGGTTGCAGTGAGCTGAGATTGCGCCACTGTACTCCAGCCTGGGCAACAGAGCAAGACTGTCTCAAAAAAAAAAAAAAAAAGATGGAGTCTTGCTAAGTTGCCAGGCTTGTATCAAACTCCTGGCCTTAAGTGATCCTCCCACCTTGGCCTCCCAATATGCTGGGATGACACGTATGAGCCACTGCACCCAGCCAGCACGGTGATATCTGAGCCAGGCCTTGAGGGATGAAAAGGAGTTCACCAGGAGAAAGCAAGAGAAGGCATGGGAGACTGCATTTTCAGCGTGAGTTCAGGAAACACCCCATAGGCCAGTGTGGCTGGAGCTCAGTGTATAGTGGAGGTAAGGTGAGGCTAGAAGATAAAGGGGGCCCAGTTGTGAAAGGTCTTGACTACCATCCCGAGGAGCTTGGGCTCCATCCTGGGGGCAGCAGGGAAATAACTGAGGAAGCCTCAAAGGTTCCACATCAGAACAAAAGCACAATCCTGGATTACAAACTGTTTTGCCAACCTGCTTCTCTTCCTGAGCTCACATCATCTGTCAACTTCCCCACATGGCTTTGGGAACTTAGGCAAATCAAATCATTTTAACCTTTTTGGGCTAAATAAGATAACATGCCTTGAACATTGTTC